TATTTAAATGATAATAATAATTATTATTAATTATCATATCTCACAGACAATATATTAGTTTAATTTATATTGTCTAAATTAAATTAATAATCTAAATAAGTAAATAACATTAACATAATTAATATAATCATCAAACATATTGTAACTAATTGAGGATGTATATATAAAGATGGATATATCCAAAGCAATTAAAGTTATATTAACCCAATTAAATTATATTAGAATGGTATTTGTGCAATGCAGCTAGATATATCTTCATTTTAATGTTTCATTTTATTTTTTATCTTTGTTGATATAATACGGTTTATGTGGTTTTAAGAAAGATAATGTTAAAGTGCAATAAAAATAAATTTAAAGATATCATAAAAATTTGAAAAATATATCGATATTAATATTAAATTAACTATCTAAAAGTTCTTGTTTTTTTTTAATTCATTTTTATATTATAATTTAATTTAAATTTAACAGTAAATTAATTTATTTTTGGCTTAACAATATATTTTTATAAAGATAATGATTTTGTTATAACTTAATGATTATCTTAATTATATTTTAGATTTTTTATATTTAAAATGAGATGTTTATCCTATATTTGATTATGTTTATCTGTAGTTAGTTATACGAATTCAAAAATAGAGCTCTAATAAATTGTATTTACGTACAATTTACTTGTAATCTTAAATTTTAATTAATATACATTAATAAACAGTACTTCATACTTAAAAAATGATTTTTAGGTTTTTCTATCAAATGATTTATAATATAGTATAGATAAGGTTTTGAAATAAGTATTATTACTTGGATCCAATTAAAAAATAATAAGTAACGAATCAAAGTAAATTATGTTTTAAAAAGAAATAAATACAATCAATAAAATAATCTAATAAATAACAAATAACAATTTTTTAAACTATAAAGAATTATAATAGATGAATTAAAATAATATTCAACTAAAATAATACTAATATAATAGATATTTATTAAATAAAAATCCAATAAAGTAATAAAAAAATTATGCTTTTATCTATACTATATTATAAAATATTTGACAAAAAAATTTAAAAACTATTTCTTATGCATGGAGTACTATTTACTTATGCATATTACTTAAAATTCAAGTTTATAAGTAAATTATGCATGAGTACAATTTATTAAAACTTCATGTTTGAATTTGTGTAACTAACAACTAATACTCATAATCGTAACAGGATAAACATCTCATTTTAAATATAATAAAATCTAAAATATAATTAGGATAATCATTGTAACAGAATACTTAAATATTATTTTTATAAAAAATTATATTATTAAAACAAAAATAAATTACTTATTTTATCAAACCTAAATTAAGTTATAATAAAAAAAAACATTGAATTAAATTAATTACACAAAAAAGATAACTTTTAATTAGTTAGTTTGATACTAATATAGATATTTTTTTTTCAAATTTTTATGATATTTTTAAATTTATATTTTATTTAAAAAATAACATTATTATTTTCTCAAAACTGTATTATAACATCGATAAAGACAAAAAATAAAATAAAATAAAACATTAAAATCGAGATGTATCTCGTTACATTGCACGAGTAATCTTCTAGTTTAATTAATAACCCCGATAATGCATACCTTAAATTTCAATTACTTATTTAATTCCTTTTAATAGTAAGAAAATAAAACAAGATCATATTAATTATTTAATTTGGATAATTATATCAAAATCATAATAAAATCTCAAATAAATTCGATAATCTTTTAGAGTAATTTTTTACGTCTGATATTCACTTTTATTTATTTAGTTGTTATAATTAAAAATTAAATAGTTATGGATGCGATTTGGTTATATTTTTTATTAATTTAATTAATATCAACTATGAAAATTGGTTATATTTTTTATTAATTTAATTAATATCAACTATGAAAATATAACAAAAGTATTCTGTAAAGAGCTCAATAATTAAAAAAAAAATTAAATAAACATGATTTCGTAATATTCACTTGTGAAGAAGTTGATAGAAAACTTACCGAGGATTTTTAACAGACGTGACAACTAACAAAGGATAACAGAGTAGCAACACAATTTTGCAAAAAGATGTTCAACAGCAGCGGACAACAACTCTTTAGAGACGGTGAAAAACAGTTTCTGAATTTTACTTGTTGATTACGTGTTATAAGAAAAATAAATTGAATAACAGTAAATGGAGAGAATGAATATGTAATTTTCATTAATCAAAAAACCTTTAAATAGGGATGAGTTAGAAGTGAATAATTACCAGATATTTCAATTCTAATTTAATTCTGATTTATCTATTTATATTTCTATCATCATATCCTTTATACAATAACACACTTATTCTATAACATAAAGATTCGTTATTCCATGGCATTTACACACCACACAACATACATTTGAAATGATTAATATGAGGGGAAATCACATCAATGACCAAAATATATAAAATTAACAAAATAACTATTTTTAAAAATGAACGATATCATTGCCTCTAGCGAAAATTTGTCATTATCATAAACGGGTCTCACATGTCATAAAAAGTCAACAAATATCTCATGCATTTTGTCAATTCGAGAGCTTTTTACGAAAATTCGAAAACCGTGTCCTACTGACAAGACTTCTGCCTCTGTTTTTGCCAGCCATTCACCCCTCGACACGTGTTCACCAAGCCCCAATCATCTAAAATCATCAAACCACAATTTCTTATAAAATCACGTTGTAGTGAATCTTTTGAGTGGTGGTTCGTTACAGATGGTTAACGGTGTTACTAAGGGGCTGTTTGGCAGTTGCTGAATGGTTTAGTACAGCATGATTAAGTGGTCAGGATGATTAAGAGACTCTGTATGATTTAGTGCCAGATAGAAAAAGGTTGTTTGGAAACTGTTCTGAAT